TGATACTCTCGGTTTGGCAGTTGTTTCAGCGCTTTGTTTGCATGCATGCTTTTGCATTTTTATATCACACCTTATGCAAAGTAAATTAGCATATTGTATGGTTCTGCGTTATCATTCGTCTGGCATTCCGACAACATGAACGAAAAGACCGAGTCTGTCAATCTTCTATGTGTGCCGCATCAAACAGAGTCGCGAATGTGTGAGGTCTAATAATAACAACCCGATGGAGCCATTTATGCTTATTATTATTATTATTATTATTATTATTATTATTATTATTATGGCGAAGAAAGCACTGGATTAGTCCAGGTGAAATTTAGGGTAAAAGCCCCTGATCGTACCAACTGGTGACTGATCTACAACGCGAGTGCTAAAAACAAAAGTTGGAAAGTGGAACGCCTGTTATTGAAAATACGTTTTGCTATGTTACCACTGAGGGGTGAATCTCGCGTCGGGACAGTAGTTCATCAACTCATATTGTGAAAGTCACTGGACGAGTCTAAGTTCACAAGCGTTTAAGGAGGGAGGCAAAAAAGTAAAATTCGCAGGTACTCAGAAATGGCCCACTGTCCATCACAAGATCCTAGCGCAAAGAATAGCACTTCAAAGTCAGTCTCATACACTGGAATAGTCAACAACACAATGACCCGTTAGCCACGAGCAGTATCCTTCAACCCAACCCAGCCCAAAAAGAGAGGCCGAAAAACTTCTGTCAGTGATGGTCTGTCTTGGCGGACATTTCTGTGTTCGGCGTCTGGCGGGATACTGCTCCAGACATTCTGAACTTAACCCATAGATTCCAACATGTGGAAATTCTGATATAGACACCTACTTTGTCGTAATGTCCAAATTAGACAAACTGTGCATTAACCTCACAATTTAGTCACCGCATGGTAGCTTCCACACTAATATGAGTCAGTCACACGGAGTGTTGCGACACCGAGGTAACGTTCGGTGGTGAATCAAGACAGGTTCTCCTATGGACATGTTAAACGCATATAAAGTCCATCGTCGTTGCGTCATAGCGATGTTTGCAGCGTCCCCAACAATGTTTCACATAAATCTTCGTTTGCGCTGCCCACATGCGTGTCCACATGCAAGACGGCTTAGAGGTGAGAGTGCGGATTCACTGACCTGAAGGTGCGTGGTTCGAACCCGACCTCTGCCTCTCGACTTGCCCTGTCTAGGCTCAAACAACCCGGCAGTATCCCAGCCCTCGTGCAACCTTCGGGTGGCATGGCAGCTAGGCACCGGAAGAATGTTACAGCTGAACGTTATACTCAAATTGGATCAACTTCACTTAGTGTTCCATGGAGAACGATTATTCCGATTGGCGTAAGGGGCAACAATGTGAAGTGGCCTTGGAACAGTAACCAAATGCCGCCAGCGGATGGGTTTTTGACCTTCGCAAAAATAAATACACAGCGGACAATTCAACCCATAAAACTTCGCGGGCAACCGACGAAACATGATCATTTGCAAACTAAGTTGGCTTAACCGGCAGACTCAACAGAATCCCGAGTGAATCGTTCGTTAATGAGCTTCTTCGACTGAAGGATATTGTAGACGAGAGGTTCGATTTCAATTCAGTCGGAGCAGAAAGTAAGGTTGACAGAAGCTCAGGGAACACGCCTGTCTGATGGGCCCAAAAATGGCAAAACTGGGCTATCGAGTGTTCAGCAAATTTGTGAGTAACTTGTTTCCATCAACACGTTTGATCTGCACTTAATGGAAGTCGTTTTTGCAACTTACGGTGAGCGAGAAACAGACGCTCGTTATTGAGTCAAGTAAGCATAGTTGGTTGGCCCTTTTCTCCTGTGAGTTACATTTCAATCAAGATATACGCTTCAGAAGCTAATTGGTAGCAATAGCTAATACTTGGTACACTCTCGGGATATCAAATTCACAAAACCCATAAGAGAAATAAAAAAAACTGATCACTACAGGGGGAGATATAGAGGGGGGGCTATAGTGAAGCCACGTGCAGACGAATATAAAATTCGTCTGACACATTTAGATATAAATTGTCAATACAAGTCGCACGTTCACTGAACTGAACTGAGAATAGGTGAACACGAGCTAATGAGCAGAAAATGCGGAGAACCTATACTCGCGTGTAAAGTAGCCATAGCAATCGTCATAGCCCCTACAATTCAACTTAGAATTGCACGACTATATTTGAATCCGAAACTTACAAAACACAACTCCACATCAGGTACAACATCCAAATGACCAATAAGATTCCTCACGCGTTAACAAGTCCTTCGTAAGGAAAAGTGGCACTCAAATCCCAAATTAGCGGCTGAAAGTGTCCCGTCGAATGAAAATGTTCCACCTTAATAAAACAGATCCAAGCACTGTCTCAAAAATCGAAGATTTACCTGGATCCTTGGCAGAGGTTCAAGCAGGTGGCGATTGCTGGGTGAAATGCTCGAAAAAATAAGTCAGTTTCAGACTACTCATGAGTAGTGTCGATGGGAAACTGGTGGACAAGTAAACTTAAAACGGGGAAAAGATACCCTTCCTGATATACCATTGTTGTCTGGAAAACATTTTGGCCGCTAATCATTTACAATGCTGTCATTCACGAGGAGGAATGAATAATCGCATAATGTGAACACTGATATTTTGGGATCTTCAGGTCACCACAAGTCCGGCAGGTAAAATAGTGGTTGTGGTCATATGACCAGTAAACAGCTGATCAACGATTATACTAAACTGGAAGATGATTGAATTCCCATATAATTGGACAGGGTAGTTTCAAGGTGTGCTGTGTGAGTAAGTCTTATAGCATGTCTCATCTCAAGGACAAGTTCAAAATTGAAAAAATATAACCCTTTAGCTCATATTTTAAACATTGCGGTTCCAGGAACCCTAGGGTAGTACACAATTTTGTTTCCTCCTTTTGGTTACTTCCCGAATCTCCATTAGGACTCACTTACCAGTAGTTCGAACACAAACCACCAACTGTTCAGTGGTATCAACTTCACTCGAGTGTAGGGCGCATCAGAAGCTCCAATGAATAGACGCAGAAGCTCTTCAGGAAGGCGCTAAGATGAAGAGAGAAGTGAGGGATATGGTAAGGGCTTGTATATATTCTGGTACTTTAGTGTGTTTGCTCTGATTATTGGAAGTTTAACCATTTGTGTTTCCGGGAAATCGGGATAGAAATGTTGCGAAACACCAGATGGTTTTTTTGGAACGAAGAACAGTTCAGCGATAAATGAGTTCATCAAACTGTTGGAATGTGTACTTCAAGAATCGGAGGTCAAACTAAATTACAGAGCCCTTTTTAACTTTTTCAGGGTGAAAACGATCGAAGAAAGCACAATCTATGATCTGGCGGAGAAATATGTAATTCCAATCTCATTCGTACTAAAACCTTCCGCCTATCTGGATCAGGACCCCGAGACCCGACTTATCCCAATAGTTAACAGCAATAAGTAAGAGTAACAGTTAGTAGACACGGATCACTCACTCATTGGAACTACTGCATTAAAAGCATCGCCTTCACTGTTTAGCCACCAAATCTTGCACTTCAGCAATCAAGCAGGATGATTCAACTTGATCAGTTGACGAGAACATTGCTCTTTTCATTCGGTGAAAGAACACCCCATCAGTAAAACCAACGTACTATTTGATAAATGGTTCCGAGGTGATTTGCTGGAATAAAGTGAATTAACTAAATAATGACCGAAGCAATTAAATTAATGCTGCATGATCCAAACGGCTCCTTCCTTAATTGGGTAGCACCTTCATGACAGATTTTGCGTTTATGAGCTCTGGGCCCAAAGTTTGGCCAAATGCTTTGACGCGAAAATGGTAATCATTTGTAGAAAGCTCGGCCACACCCAATTGTGACTCATCAGATGGACAAGTGGTCGTGAGGTTAGTAGCATACAAAGAACAAGTGAAGTATGGTGTGAACGGAATCCCAGCGAACAAATCATAGTCTCCATTCCATACTGCACAAGTCACAAGAAAAACCCTGAATTGGACACATCCGTACTGAGGAAATCATTTTGGTGACACGGACTGTTCCTCTAAAAATCCCTCTTGAAAAAAAAGGAAATTCCAGAATCTCAAAATCGCTGGATTGCTTCACGATGAAAAAAGTATTTAAAAAATGAAAGTTTTTGGCAGACTCTTTAATCGATGTCGCCATCAGAACTACAAATTACTATAAAATCACACCATAGATGAGGTACAGGGCGGTAAGAAAGCGCTTCATCCTCCGTGAATCCAAGATTCAAGAGCGATTTTGCATTTGAACTAGTATAACAGCAGTAACCCAGAGTGGAAAACCGTAAGAATAGACACTACTTTGAAAGAAAGTATTTTCGATTAGTTTTTTGGAGGTCTTCTCATCAAGGGAGTCCCTACCAAGAAAGTCCACCTCTCAGGAGAACCCATTCTTGATTGAGCTCTTCCTATGGTCGCTCCAGAGTTGAACAACCGCAATGCTACGGTTTGACGCCTCCGAATATCATGCGACCCTTGGTAACTTGGCAGTGTTCGAGGTACTCACGTTCATTTAGGATTAAACATTTATACAGATAGTGACCAGTACGCCAGAAAATTTCTATCTTCATGGATGGATTTCCCTGCCACCTACAAAGCTGTAACTCTCTAGCGGGGAAAATTATGTAATCATGCCCAAAAATTACAATTCCAATGTAATTTTGTCACTGAGTTCTGAACCAAACGGTCGTCATCTGACGAAACCGGTCTCACCTCAGATGTGCTGTGCTTCTTCCCATTCGTGTTTTCCAACAGATCCACAGCCAACGGAAGACCGAAAAGTGGAAGGTCACAGAAGTAAGACCAGAAGGCTGGGTGAGAGGATAAACAAAATTACAGGTGAAAATAAATACGAGGTTCGGAGGAATTTGAAGTCATTATCGACAAAGACCTGCGCATGCCCAATTCATATGATCACGGCTTGTAAACGGCAAACCTGAGGGATTTCTGAAGGCCCATGGTGACTCTGGAACTCTGTTTCCGACTCGTTTCGTCGATTCAAATAACAATGCGACAAGAAAATCACTCAAATACTGAAATCATCAAAACATTCATAACTAAAAACTGTTAAGCGGCCGCGAGGAAAGAACGAGGCAGTCCTATCAGCGGCGTTTTTGTGAAACTTGTCTCAGTGTACTGACGCCCATATTCATCAAAATATTATCACAACCGACTGTCATTGGTTTGTCTGCTGAGCTGGGCAATTTGATTGTAATCAGCAAACAAACCAAAGAGCATCTATGCTATCTGAGCTACCAACATTCTCTTCTATAGCAAACAGTCGACTGTTTCAACGTCTTACCGAGTTCCTCCAGTGCAACCCTCGGACCGGCGAGATAGGCAATCAACAACCGATTCCTTCCCAATTCGTCATTCCAGTCTGGAAGTGAGGAGCAAATGCGATCTACCAGTTGGGCCATCATGTAGAGAGCGGAAAATGCCGAGACTTTGGATTCGCGATCTGTGACACACAGACAGCCGGACAGTACTAGCCTCAATAATCCGTCCAGTAATGGAGCCAGAAAGGTAACCAACTGTTGCAGGGACGCGTTTCGTATACAGTCCATCATCTGCCTGAAAAAAATAGTATGGGTTGTGAGATTCAGCTTCACAAAATTCATGTGCAATATAAACACCGTCTTGAGTGTTACAACGGCAAGTTTCAAGTTCAAACCAAAACCAATCTACTCAATCACTGAAGTCACTGGATAGAAACCTGCTTCACTCATTGCATTGGGAGTACCTGAATATCTGTCCCATGATTTCTGAATCCCCTCTCTCTTACACGAAGAAAATAACTATATGGTCACAATTTTATCGCACGTAGATGCTTACGATTGTAAGTTTGAAGTTTTACTGCTCAACTGGATGTCTACGCACTGCCTAGGGTACTTCGCGAGTCAGGATTTTCTACCTCCCCGCTTTCAGTAGCACACGGAACAGTTGCGGAGAAGTCAAGTCACCTGCCGTCAGCATAATTAAACAGAACAGCAAAATGCTCTCTTGGGTAGATCAATAGCACCTGTTCACATTCCAGATTTCTCCAAGTTACTTGTGACCCCAAAAAAAGCAGCAGGTTGTGTGAGAGAAAACAATGGAAAACCGCAGCAGTTGAGGCTCAGAACAAAGAACTTTTGCTGATAATATCTGACGGAACTGCGCACGCACTGTCCCTGATGCACACTAAGGATCACCAATTCAAGTAGCGCGACAGATAACAACGGAAGATCATAAAGGCTTTCAGCAATGTTTTTTAAAGATTGTGGTGGAGGCATGAACGGTTAACTCACGCAATGTTATCGCGCACTTCAAGAATTTGAAGCGTTTGTGGGATCTTTGAAGGAACACATGCAGTCAGCATATATTCTACATTGACATCCTTGGGGAAGACGCTAGAGACAACCGTGGTACACAAATGAAATACTTCGCGACTTGAGTCAACCCACTGGAAAGCATCAATATAGAACTGGAAACGGAAAGAATACGTTATGGTACGTCATCGGTTGAAAAAAACACATGCACCGGTGACAAACAGATATCAGGTAGAACCTGGCAGTCTAAAAGAGGTATCAAACACTTGTACTAGGTGAGGAATGCAAAGCATGTCGATGCGCGCACCGCTCAGCAGATCTGCAGCAGACGATGTGTTAAATTGATTTAGTATTGACCATTGGGTGATGTTTATGATAATAGCGTTGTTCGAAACTAGATCTACCGAAGCTCAGTATTGATGACATTATGATTCAGTCGTTTTAACTTTTTGTGGCTATCTGAAGCTCCAGTCGTTAAGTTCGCAAACGAATCGCAGGGTTGTCGTGATTACGCGAGGACGAACCACAGTGCCGAACGAACTCAAGCACCGGAAACGAAAATGCACACCATAGCTCATCTTGTGTTCAAATGATGAACGCCTGGTTCGAATTTTTCACTGATATGGTGTTAAGAAGCGAATCATATTTGTTCTTTAATTGAAAACTTAACTTGAAAAACTCAGTTTCCCCTCCCTGGCTCAACAGAACTTACAGCCACCGAGACTACAGACAAAGCCAATCACACATCTATCCGTTTTGCGAAGCCAAAATCGTATCACGTGTAACGCTCAACTACTACCGATGCGTCTGCCAGTGGAAACACTGAGAATGCTAATGGCGCGGAACGCTCAACTACTACCGATGCGTCTGCCAGTAGAAACACTGAGAATGCCAATGGCGCGGAAAATGATAATTCAAGCAAGCCTGCGTTCATAGCAGGACAATCAATTTTTCAGTCGAATCACGCCACATGAATTTTCGGTGGATTCTTTGGGCCGAATCTGCATTTAGAATAGGTGTTTATATGAAAACTAGTATTTTTAAATAAACTCATTTAAACTTATTAGAACAATGTGGTGTTTTTTTCTTTAATTCACGCACGGGGTAGGCTCTTCCTTCCGACAGTTTTATAGACCCTTGCGGCTGGTGCACTTGGGGAGGTTCAAACAGCTCACAGTTGTTCGCTGAGCATGGATATTGGTTTGCGTACGTTTTGTCACCATTCGAGAAAAAATATTAGTCAGCTGTTGAGTTAGCAATTCCTCCTCACTTGTCTGCGTCTACCTAGTATCATGAACAAAATTTAATATTCTCAACGTGTTCAGATGGTCGATAGTCCAGTAAAATAGCACACAGCTCG